CCCCATGTCCTGACAACTACCGATGAGCAGCTTGTTAGGACGCTTACTAGCACTCAGCAGGGGATGGTTGGACTACAAGCGCACCTCGCGTAGGTTGAGTAGGCTTAAGCCGCTCAAGCCGCGTTCATCACTTCCCAAGCGAAGGAGGGCGGTCACGCCATTGCGACTCCCGCCATCATTGCTCCCCCTTCACCTTTTGTGGAGCCTAACTAGAGGCAACATGGACAAATGGCTATTGATCGCCCACTTGTTGAAGTCCCTATGGACGTTCACTATCAGTCCCTTTTGGATAGCACTTTGATAACCAGTTCTGCGCCCAGAGGCTTTGGGAATTATGAAGTGAAGCCAGCGTTGGTAGGCTTGGCCAGCCAGAGCCAATTTCATAGGCTGCTCAACGAGAACTCTTACGAGCATCTGCAGAACTTCAATAGGATCGCCGCCACCTCTAAATCACACGGAATCACTGAGGACGCTGCGAAATTGATACTGTTTCCCTTCTCTTTAACATGAGAGGCCAGGAAGTGGTATGGTAACCTCTACCCCATTCTGGCCACCTTCAAGGAAGCAGGGCAGGCCTTCGTCAGTAAATACCATCCTGTTTCAAAGACTATCAGCCAAATGAATGAAATACTGAGTTTCAAGATGGCTGGTGATGAGACCCTGCCTAAAGCTTGGAGCCGCTACAAGTAGCTGCTTTGCAACTGCCCTTATTACGAGATTCCTAACTTCATGGAGCTCCAGATCTTCTATTCAAGGATCACTCCAGAGTTGAGAATGTCTTTGGATGCAGTGGAAGGTAGCTCGCTCATGGGGTGCTGCGCTTCAGAAGGGAGGGCTCTGATAGAAAAGATGGCGGCCAATTAGACCAGTTGGCCAGAGAACAACAGGCCAGAGCCATCAAGATATCACAAGATGCCAAAATTGACAGCCTGTCGGTTCAAATCAAAGAGCTTGCCAAGCTCGTGAAGCAGGACTTCGGTAATAAAGGAAAATAGGTAATAAGTGAGGCCGTGGCCACAGAGGAGTACGCCTATGTTGACCAATCTAGCCCGCAGGTCGCTGAGGGCTCTGTTGAGCAACCTCAGAAGCCAGCGGTGGTGTTTTACATGGCGAATAGAAACGCTCCTCAGACCCAGCAGTTTCAGAAGGGGCAACCCCAAAGGCCTCCTAGACCACGTCCTCAACAACAATTTCAATAGCTGCCACCGTTTGCTGCGCAACAATATTATCAGAGGGGATTCTACCCACAACAACAATACTTCCAGACCTTATTTTTTCGCAGAAGGCACCTATTTTCGCTCCACCTCCCACAGCGGCACAACAACCGCTGAGTTTGGAGGAACTTTGGAGAAATATTGAACGAGCAAATAAAGAGTTCAAACACAATACATCTGCCTTGATCAAGATGCTAGAGATTCAAGTTGGACAGATAGATAAAGCTATGAAACTGAAGCAAAAAGGAACGTTGCCTGGGAGAGTCGAGACTGTCCCGAACCAAGCAAAGACAGTCAAAACAAGGGGTGGAAAGCGGACGCAATCTCCACCACTGCCAGACAAGGTACTAATTTCTCTTCTACCTCTATTGTTTTTAATTTACCTGTGCAAGATGAAAATAACCAAATCCCAAATGTGGAAGAAAGTCCACCCAACCACGAGAGATATCAACCGCTCGGGTACCTGAACAGATGGAAAAAGCCCTCGCTCAAGCGATAGCTAGGCCCATTTCCAGCCAAGCTTGAGAAGAAGGACAATTCCAAGGAATTTGAGAAGTTTGTACATACTTTCCGTAGTCTAAAAGTCACTATACCGTTTGTTGATGCTTTTTCAGATGCCACATTACACTAAGTTCGTAAAAGATATAATCAATAAAAAATAGGCATTTTCGGACGAGGCCGCAGCGGTGCAATTGGAAAGTGTGTGTAACTCCGTATTTAAGGAGGACCTCCCAAAGAAGTTAAGCGATCCTGGGAGTTTTATTATTATTTGTACTATTGGAAACCTAAAACCGATCAGGGCATTATGTGATTTAGGAGCTAGTATCAACCTTATGCCTTTTTCTCCTTTTAGTAAATTAGGGCTTTATGAGCTTGAACCATGTAGAATTGTAATACAAATTGTAGATAAATCAATAAGACTCCCGAAAGGGATTATTCGTGATGTACTACTGCAAGTAAACAAATTTATTTTCCCTGCAGATTTCATAATAATGGAAATGAGCGAAGATCACGAAATTTTTCAATCATTTTGGGAAGACCTTTCCTTGCCACCGCTCAAGCAACTATCAACATCGGTCAAGGCGAAATAACACTGAGCATAGGTGGAGATAAAGTCATATTTTCAATGAACAACGTCATGCGCCAACCGCAGGAAGAAAATTGTGATTTTATAAATGAGTTAAATGAATTATCCACTTTTGAGAACTGTTTAACAATTGAAACTCTAGAAGAAATTTTAGAAAAGGATTCACTCAAGTTGGAGCATATTCTGGACTCTGGTGAGCGCAACAAAATCTTATCACCTCCCACTGAGTTCATTAAAAAATGAAGCGAGAGCCGGTGAGCGAATCCTACACTAAGGACGAGTTGAAGAAATTACCTGAGCACCTCAAGTATATATACCTTGGCCGGAGGAGACTTACCCACTGATAATCTCCGCCTTACTGCTGTCGGACCAAGAGGCTCAACTCATCTCCCTTTTCAAAAGAAGAAAGACGGCTTTTGCATGAAAGCTCTCAGATATAAAAAAAAAAGTCAACCCAGCAGTGTGCATGCACCATATAAGATTGGATGGTGAAGCGAAGCCATGCAGACAGCCTCAGCTATGCCTGAACAAAAATATGCAAGAGGTAGTGAAGAAGGAGGTAATAAAAGTTTTCGATGCAGGAAGTATCTATCCAATAAGTGACAGCCAGTGGGTTAGTCCAACCCAAGTGGTCCCCAAGAAAGGAGGTTTTGTCTAGTAGACAAGCGACGAAGGGGAGGTCTTCATGGCAAGACATGTCACTGGATGGAGAGTGTGCATCGACTACAGGAGGTTGAACGCAATGACCAAAAAGGACTATTTCCTGATGCCGTTCCTTGATCAATGCCTTGAGAAGCTTGCAAGTCACGAATACTACTATTTCCTCGATGGCTACTCAGGCTACCATCAGATTCCCATCAAACCAGAGGATTGTGAGAAGACAACATTTATATGTCGGTATGGTACATTCGCTTATAGGAGGATGCCGTTCGGGCTCTGCAATGTCCCAACCACATTTCAGCAGTGTATGTATCATATCTTCAGCGATCTCCTAGACTTCTACATTGAAGTTTTTATGGATGATTTCTCGGTTTATGGCAAGACATTTTCCCGATGCCTGAATAACTTGGAAAAAGTACTCTTCCGCTGCATTGAGACTGATCTCGTGCTGAACTGGGAAAAATGTCATTTTAATGGTAAATGAAAGAATTATCTTGGGCCATAAGATCTCGACCGCCAGAATTGAGGTGGACAGATCAAAAGTTAGTGTAATCGAAAAGATGCCAGCGCCCTCGAATGAGAAATAAGTGAGAAATTTCCTTGGACATGCCGGTTTCTACCGTCACTTTATCAAGGACTTTAGTAAAATAACACAACCGCTCACCGCACTGTTACGCAAGGATGCTCACTTTGAGTGGTTGAGCGAGTGTGAGGTGGTTGTCCTTATTCTGAAGGAGAAGCTCACCACCGCTCTCATCATTTCAGCGCTAGTGTGGAGCGAGCCATTCAAGTTAATGACGGATGCAAGCGACTACGCCGTCGGCGATGTTTTAGAAAAAAAATGTTGAATCCAAGCTAAACATCATTTACTATGGAAGTAGGATGTTGTATTCCGCTAAGAGGAATTACAGTACTACCGAGAATGAGCTGCTAGCTATTGTCTTCGCTTTCAAGAAATTCAAGCAATATTTTATTGGAAGCAAGACCTTACACGCAGACCATGCAACGATTAAGTATTTAATGGAGAAGAATGAGACAAAGGCCCGCTTGATTCAATGGGTTCTTCTGCTTCAGGAATTTGATACAGAAATCAAGGACCGAAAAGGGAAAGAAAATTATGTTACTAATAACCTCAGCAGATTAAGGCAACCGGAGGACACGTCCCCAGGTATCAATGAATCTTTTTTCCGAATGAGAAGCTGTTCCTAGGACAGGGGAAGGAGCTGTGGTTTGCAGACCTGGCGAATTTCTTAACTACGGGCAATTTCCCGCTCACACTATACAAAGGGAAAAGAAGAGATTACTCAGACTGGAAAATGATTACTTTGGGATGATCCTTATTTGTTCAACATCGGCTCTGATGGGATTATCCGTCGTTGTGTAGCGGAATCAACGGTCCCGCTGTTCTTAGTTGAATATCATGGTTCCCATTTAGGAGGACATTTTGTTGTCCAGTGCACAACGGCCAAATTTTTGCAGTCAGGCTTCTTTTGGCCTACCCTAGAGAAAGATGTTGATGCCTTTTCCAAGGCTTGCGATAAGTGCCAAAGATTAGGCTCTATCTTAAAGCAAGATGAGATGCCTCAAACTAAAGTCTTGTTTGTGGATATTTTTGATGTGTGAGGAATAGAATTTATGGGATCGCTGCCGAACTCTAATGAGAAATTATATATTATGGTAGTAGTGGATTATGTGAGCAAGTGGGTTGAAGCGCAAGCGCTCCCTACGAATGATGCTCACTATGTGATCCGCTTCCTAAAATACACCATTTTCCCAAGGTTCGGGGTCCCCAGGACTATCATAAGCGATGAAGACACCCATTTTGTGAATAAGGCACTGCAATCTTGCCTTCAACTGTATGGTGTTCGCCAACATCTAACTACTCCTTATCACCCACAAGCAAACGGTTAAGTGGAAGTTTCTAACCGACAAATTAAACACATCCTCCAGACCACAGTAAATAAAAATTGCAAGAATTGGGTAAAAAATTGGATGATGCACTGTGGGAATACAAAACAGCCTTCAAGACTCCAATTGGGATGTCCCTGTACAGGCTAGTATATGAAAAATCTTGTCATTTACCTCTGGAACTCGAGCATCGCGCGTATTGGGCTATCAAATATATGAATTTTGACCTTCTCTCTACTAAGGAGAAGTGTGCTGAGCGCTTGCTTGATTTGACTGAGTTCCGGTACCTAGCGTATGAAAGCGCTAAACGTTACAAGGGAATGATGAAGTTCTATCACGACAGGAAGTTTCAAAAGAAAGAATTTAGTGAAGGATCCAAGGTTTTATTGTATGATACTAGGCTCCACTTATTCCCAGGGAAATTGAGATCACGGTGGACTGGGCCTTATATAGTCAGACAAGTTCTTCCAAGTGGAGCCATAACAATCAGTAATTTGGATAACCCCAGGGAAAGAGATTCCTTCCTAGTTAATGGAGCGAGGCTGAAGCCGTATAACGGAAGGCCTATTTTGCAGTGGGCTGATACAGAGATAAATCTAGTTGAGGTGCAGAAACTCGCTCAGTGATAGAACTCAGAAGTGACATCCAGAATTGCCTAATATTATATCTTCCAAAACGATATACTGCTTTGATAGTTAGAATTTACAATTTTATTATCGCTTACCTAGTTAGAATTTATCACTTATTTTACCGTTTTCACAGAATAGCCATTATTGTTTTCGTAGTTAGAATTATCTCTCTCTAGAAGATAGTTTAAAGGCTTTGATTATCACTTCCTTAGTTAGAGTAGGTAGAATTTTAACTTCTAACCTAAACCTAGCTGATAACTAAAAATGTGTGTGTGTGTTTACACAATTCACAGGGAATTTATATTCGAAAATCAATGAGTGGAAGTTTATAGAAAACGATCAGATATAGTAATTTTTGTGGTTTTAGACCCTGAGTAGTTATCACAATTATTTATACTCTTTTTACTAGTGAGTTTCCAGGTCGAACACAAGGATTTTAAGTCATGAATTTCAACGGTGAAAATCTTGAAGAAGCGACGAAAACTGCAGGAAGGGATCTGCTTACAGCGGATCCAAAAGATAGGCTAAAGAAAGCAATAAGTAAAGCGGTAAAAGTGAAGTGAGCGGAAGCGAGCGAAGCGAGGGCGGAAGATGAAGTGCCAGCGGTAACCAGATGATCGGGACATGAGCGGAAGTGGGCACCAGATAAACGGGACATGGATGAATGGCGGTTACCGAGTGAACGGGACATGAGTAAGCGACACATTATATGTATATGTATGTAAATATATATATAGATAAGTGACAGAGAGTGGATGAGAGATGTTGTGTTTGAACTGTGCGTTACTAAATAGATAGATTTCCCTAGAGGTAATGAGCGAGCGATGTGAGTGTGTTATCGGAAATATATGTATTTTACGAAAGCGGTGAAAAGGAAGTAATGTAATCATATAAATTGAATATAAAGAATTCATAACACTGGAATTTTGACCTTAAGGGATTTAAAACAAGACTTCAATGACACCCAAATTCGAGACATTAAAAGAAAGAAACCCTACTGTTACTAGGAATCTCTGCGACCTAATAGACCACCGCCTATGCCCCGTTAATTTTCCCAAAATCTGCCTCATTAGTGGCTTTACCCTTCTGTTACCTTTTTTTAATCAAAATTGAATTCAGAACAGCAGTTAAGCAAGTTGACAAGGCTCCCGCGTACTTAACTACATTGAACTACCTTGAGACCGCTTTTGGCGCATAACAAGGCTCAAATAATCATTTCTTCTGTAGCTCTAAACCAATGAAATGAAACTCTCTAAATTCAAACTTTATATAAGTGTGTAAAAAATGTGAAAGAAATTAGGGTGAAGAATCGAATGATATTTCATTATCTACTACGAAAGAAGGAAAAGACTAGAGCTACAAGGCTGTAAACGAAAGCAGTAATCTAATCTAAGAAAGCTGTAAAGACTTGGCCAAGGGAGGAGGGAAACCCCTACTCCTTTGGCCATTCCTGTGGAGAACTCCCTTACAGGGTTGGAGCTCTCGGAGACAGGAAGACGACTTGCTTGCGAAAAGTAATTGCTAAGACTATTTAAAATCAAAGTATCAATTCCTTCTTCGTAAAGATATCTGACCCTTTTTATAGCAGGTGGAATGGGGCGGTTGCAATCGGTTGCTGGGCGGTTCCAACCGCTGGGCAGTTAGGCGGTTTCTGGTAGTTATTCTGTTGAAGCAGTTGCTGGCCGTAACTCCCAGGGCGCTCGCTTTGATTGCATTGAACTGTAAGGGTTCAGATCTTCCTTGCTTGTTGGAGAGCTGGAGGGCATCAGCGCAGCTAGGCTCGCTTATGCTGGCTGGAAATGAAATTGTTGTACTGCTGCAGTTGGAACACTTAATTGGAATCTGGTGATACTCTGCAGCGGTGGGCATCTGGGCTGTCGCTTGCAAGCGGGAGAGGTTGTCGCTTGCGGGCGGTGAAGGCTGCCGCTTGCCGCTCATGCCTTAGTATTTTTCAGGAAGTATTCTGGGTACTTGCGAGCGGAGGTGGTTGTCGTTTGTGGCGTCTGCCGTAGCTTTTCTGGCACCAGACTACCACTTAAAAAGGGCAAAAATCGTTAATAATCTCAACAACGAATTCTGGATCATGCCATTAATGAGTCATTGTGATGGTTTTTATACAAAAGTTCAAGTAATACATAGTTTCGTCAAACTAAGAATATGCTCATATTTGGAGTAATCAAACCTCCTCACACTAAACCTTTGTTCGTCCTCGAGCAAACTGCATTAAAAAAATCAAGAGGTTATACTGTTCACTGCAATTAAGAAGTGTTAACAATCAATGCCATGATTGTGAATAAAGTGAATCTCAAAATAGGAACAAAGAAGCCATAAGTATTCAGCTTGTCATTTGATTTAACGAGATTGGAGTTATCCAGGTATCGTCAACTTTTTTTGCTTAGCAGGGACTATTTTTTTGATTTAGGAAACCTTCAGCCGAAGGGCGCAGAGTTTTTTTTTTTTTGGATCGAGAGTTTCAAACAAACATTGTGTCTACTCAAGATCTTATTTGATTCTCACTTGCCTAGGCCTTTTCAGTTCCTTTGTAATGATAGGTCCTCCCTGCTTCGCTTGCATTGTATCTTAAACCATATTTAAGGACTTCTCTTTTCGAGCTATTTCTTATGAACAAGTCGAAAAACATAGGTTCGCTTGCCCTACTGAGTATGGGAAAGTTGAAACGAAGGGGGCACTAATCTTCACAAGTCTTATTCGCTGTTACTTAGTTTAACGCTAATGTTCAAGTTATTGTGAAGTTTGAAGGACAATTACTTGGTCTGATGTGCTTAAGTCATCTAACTCTACTCTAAAACATATCACTGAGTTAACTCAGCAGGATATCACAAGCATTTCACATAAGAACACATACTTCAGGTTATGTTAGGCATACAATAAAGAAAATTTTTCACTTGTTACCAAAAAGTGTTGTGTCGTTGATCAATGTTATGTACAGCCCTTGCCATTCTCAAAGTGTGTACATGGGGAGGGCCTCTCTTTATTTCCTCTTCTCGCCCGAAGGTCCTCGCCCCTGAGGAAGGTTTATAGATATCTGCCGCACTAGGTCTTCCATTCGTTGGAGACTCCTGGCTGTGTCAAGCTGTTGTTCCATGAGAATGGCGTTTTGTTGGGTAAGAGCTGCGAGTGCTTTCATAATCTCATGCAGCGTCGTACCCATGCTTGCAGCTTGAGTCTCCAGTGCTTCTACGCGCGCTTCTAGTGCGGCAGTTGCTTTCTTTCCAATGGCCAGTTCATCACCCAGACTCCTAGCGTATGTGTCAATTATTGTCTGAGTCATCATGTATTGGGTGAGAATGGCTTAGTCGAGTTCCTCCAGTCTTCTTTCAATGTTTTCCAGAGATGAGCGGAGGGCTGATGGTCCAGCCCCCGTAGCTGTTGGTGACTGTCTCCCGGACTCAGCCGAACTGATTTCCACTGGCGCTTCCTCTTTTCGGGAATCGGGTGCTAGTTCAAGGGTGATATCATTGAGGAATACTAGTTGTCTCGCTGCCTCGTACTCCAGCTGTTCTGCTTTCTTTCGCTCTAGGTACCTCCTAAATCGCAGCTGGAGTTGGGTCAGCGGCTTCATTTTCCTCTTCCTCTGTCGCTCGAGCTGCCGCAATAGTTCAATCTGTTGTACTTCGGCGAGCAGCTGAGCTTGCTTCTCCTGCAGCTTCCTATCCTACTCATCCTCTATTAGTATTTTGTCTGATTTGGCTGAGGAAGGAGTCAGAGTCTTTGCAGGTGTCCCCATCATGGTAGGTGTTCTTGGGCTGCGTGGGGACACTTGTAGGATAGGAAGGTTTGAAATTACTGTCTCCACCTCCTCGGCTTCATTGGCAGTTTCAACGGTTGTGGCAGCGGGGAACTCGGCGGGATATTCTTTGTATGACTCCATTGTGACATCGGTCCCGCCGATGGTTTCTTTGGTAAGCACAGTCTCCCGCTTCTCCGCTGTTCCAGCAGCAGTAGTCTCTACCGCTCCCTGAGCCAGCTGTAAAGAAACCTGCTGCTGGAACACCTGAGGATGAACCCACTTCTGTTAACCAGCTGGGGGTAAAGGAGCCTACTGCTGCTGGACCAGACGAGGAGCTGGAGAATGTAATCACTGAAGAAACCATCGACGGCATAGACGTAACTGTGGAGTCATTCAATGATCAAGTCGCCGAGGTCCTCCATGCAACAATCGTTGAAGCTGCCGATGAAACCGACAGGGTTGAGGTAGTAATAACGTCGCTGCCTATTTTGCAGGTGTCTCCCAAAACAAAAGATTCAACAACTCTAGGGGTAGCGGAAGAGGAACCTATTCCATACAGGCCCCAGATGCCAATGGAGACATCCGCACCTGCAAAAGCTTCAACTCCGTCCTCCGCTAAATCCGACAAAATCATCATCGATGAAGAGGAGGATAAAGAGGAAAGGTAATTCTAGGAGTGACAAGCTCGGTTGCTCACAGAAATGCAAATGCTAGAACAAGAGACAGCGTGAGTGGAACAAGAAAAGGAAAATGAAGGTGTTGGTCAAGCTGCTTAAGTACTGGAAGCCGTTGACCCAACTCCAGCTGCAATTCAGAATATACGTGGAAAAAAAGAAAGTCGTGCAGCTGAAGTACGAGGCAGCGAGGCAGCTTGTCTTTCTAAGAGATGTTACCCCCGAACCAGCACCCAATTCCAAGGAAGAGCCAGAGCCGGTGGATATCAGTTCCGCATTTGAGCGACAGTTACCAGAACCCACTAAGGCTAGCATCTCCGCCCCTCGCGCGGAATTTGAATCAATCAAAAGACAACTGGATGACCTCGATACGGCGTTGCTGAGCCAGTACATTATGCTAGAATCACTGATCGACAACCATGTCGAGAATCTGGCTTCTGAAAGCTCAGCGACTGCCCCATTGGAGTCACATGTTGATAGGCTAGAAGCTCAAGCTACAAAACTGGGAAGGGCACTGGAGAGCCTCGAAAGAGGACAAAGCGGCAATTTAAAGGCTTTTGCAGGTGCCACCC